AAGGAATAAGGAACAAATAACTACTTTCATTGAATGCTTATTTCAGCAGCTGAAATGGTGTATGACATCATCTCTTTGTGTAATTGTGTCTATTCATTCTGTTTTGTTTTGTTGTTTTGGGGTCATAGTATTTTGTTTATTTGGGGTCATAGTATTTCTTTCTGAATGCCTTTTTGCAGCATTAGGATCTGGCCTAACTTTAGGGCAGCAATAAATATTCCACCACAGAAGTAGAGTTCTCTAAGCTCAGTGTTCAGTGTTCAGTTCTCTGAAATTTCTCTTGTTATTCACTGACATCTTCATAATGCTTTTGACTCTTTAGGAAACAAACCTTTTTTCAGAAAATATTTTCCATTTCATTTTTGGTTTAATGCTTTGAACCACATCCATATACTCTTCTAATCTACAAAACAAGTGAGTTTCTAAGAACATATTACTTGTATCTAAGGACATCTCCATATTGAATTACACACAGAATACTACATATAAAGTTGTTTTGTATATTATATTCTTCTGTGTATTTGTGGCTGGTTGACCAACAGCCGTGGTGGTTGCCAGCAGCTAAACATCACATTGTTCTTTGTTGACAGGGTCTTGCTCGCTTGCCCCAGTAGGACTGGAGACAAGCGAAAGTGAGAAAACTTGTGTACTTGTGTGTTGGTAAGGACAGTTTAATGAGGGAAATAAAGGACAACAAATCCCCCAAGGAACACAGATCAATGCCTAGCCAGTCTCTGAGCAGACAAATCGTCATCTCCCTTAGATTTTATTGTTAAGTGGTGTATGTGGGAAATGTCGCTTTGGTCACTTGGAGCCAGTTGTCCATCCCAGCTGTGTTCCCTCTCTACTTTTTGTGCATCCTAAGCCAACTTGCTGAGGTGGCAGCATGAGAAACAGTGCTGTGCCAGTGCTGCTTACCTATGTCTGGTATGTTATCAGCACTGGTTTAGTTACAAATCCCTTACAAGCACTGCACCTTAGAAGCTGTTGGAAGACAATTAACTACATCTCCATTTGTGCTGTAAGATAAGCCAGCAGGAAAAATACTGGTCTGGTTTAACAGAGACCTTAGGCTCAAACTTGTGACAAAAAAGAGTGTAGCTTGTCTGGCAGGATGTATAGATAATTTGAGGGAACTACAAAGATGTTGTCAAGTATATGGAGGGAAAATTAGAAGGGTCAAAACTAAACTGAACCTTAATTTGGCCACTGTGGTTAAAGACTAGGTGATCCTGAAGGTCTCTTCCAACTTTGATGATTCTGTGATCATCACACTGCAACATCATCACAGATGCAACACACTGTTATTACTATAGTACAAAACACAGTAAAACTTTATCCATGACTCGTGAGCCATGGCTTCTAACATGAGATCTGCACCAGTGCAAGACTGAAAGCTGGCTATACGTAGGTACAGTGTCAGAATTTGTCTTGAGACCATTAAGTTTTATTATTCTACAAACAATAATAGTATGTAAATTAACATGGTAATTACAGGAAAATTTTTTGGCATTGCCTTGGTCATAAAACATTACTTAGGGCCATTGATCAAATTGTGTTAATTCCAGGATCAACGATTGTCAGTGTTTTGGGATGTGAAGGCCTTATTAATAGTGTGCTGTCAGGGTCTTTGTGCCACCAAGACTTCTTTGAGTGTTTAATTAAATATGACCTTCTAATTGAAAGAAGACCTTTGTCTTTATGCATCTCAAAACTGGCAAAAGATGCAGTGCTAAGAAGTGATTACATGCTGAGGCCAAATTTGAAAACAATATATTCTTAAGAATGAATATTTGAGGTAGTGAAAACAAAGTAAAAAGGCTTGTAATGGAGATATCTCAGAATTACTTGTAACCCAACATCTGTAATGTATATTATAGAAATCGTATGGAGTTGGTTGGTAATTCAACAGTTGCTAATGATTAAAAAGGACTAGGAACTTTAAGGAAATTATGTTAGAATTTTAAGCTTCTTTTTTTCCTTGTCAGATCAGTGGTAGTTGCACTGGTTTGACAAGAAGCGGTATAGATTCATTTCAGGAATTAATCAAGAATTCCTATTCTAGTTGCCTGTTAGCAGCAAAGTGTGTCCCACAGGAATAACTCTGATAGTAACATCTAAGCTAGGAAAATGGCTTTGCTAACAAAATATCCTATACATTTGACAGCAAAAGTAAAAAACAAAGATAAAATCTCAAATCCTAGTGTTACTGGTACTAATAAAGGCATTGTTATAAATCAGTATAATACAGAAGTCGTGTACTGCACTGATTTCATTTAGGTAGCTTGCATCACCTATGTATACCTATTAGTTTAAAAATAAACAATTTTGAAATACACAGAGGGGAATGTTTTCATTCAAAGTCCTACACCTGGCTCCAGAATGCATTGGATTAAATTCTTAATCACAGAACAATGTTATACTGCCTTCAGTACACTCATCAGCAAAACCTGTTTGCTTAACTCTTGAGTCTGTACTTTTGAGTTTGGAAATGGGTCTTTCAGTTTATAAAAGCTGTGTGGCTTGAGACTGAACATTTCTGTATTGGAGCATGAACTAACATATAAATTAAAGCACTAATAAGTAAACAATTTAGCACATGAATACATTAGCATATGATGGATGAGAAAATAACAGAAGAAAAAGCAACTTAAAATCATAGGGAGACTATAATTTCAAGGCCCTTATTTAGTGATAAAATTTATATCAAAACATTATATCAATAACATGAAGGAAGGAGGTTCAAAAATAGCTAGCCTCTCAAAGTTCAGTTTTAAAGTCCGTAAAGTAGCCTTATTTCTCACATATTCTTTGTGCTCTGCATATGCTTTAGTGTATTTGAACTGCTCAAGGGACAGAGGAATTGAAGTGCAAGTCCTCCATGTGAATGATCTGCTGTGATTATATAAAGTGTATGCTTGCATATTAAAATCTATTCATTATAATTTTCTCTTTCTGTGATTTATGTTTAAACTTGCTTTTTCTTTATTCTTTTTTTTTAAATTTTTTTTCCATTTTTTTATTCCTTTTTAAAAAATAGATGCTATAGATTCTTCCGTGTCTTTCTGATACCTTTTTTTCTGGCACCTTCATTTCTGGAATTGTAGACTAAAAGCCAATCACACTGGAGTTGCAGTTTCTGAGTTCCACTGTTGCTATCAGCTTGCTCATTCCTCATGAAATTCTTTTGGAATTTGGATACACCAATAACATTTATGTAATAATGTCAAATGACTATTGCCTGGCAGTGTTTCTGTGTCTTCTAAGGCATTCAAGTGAATTTTTAACATTGTTTATGATCATGCTTTTTTTTGTTTGTTTTTGGTTTTTTGTAGTTTTTTTGTAGCCTTTCCAAGTGGCTTCGCAGGTAATTTTCTTGCTATTTTGCTCCTTTAATTTACATTTCCTCTTTGCATCAGGTTACACATGTGCATTTTCTAGGGTACTTACTAATGTCTGAGAGAGATCTCTTTTTAAAACATGGAAAGCTGATTCAATTTGATCAAAAAAGTAGGGTTGAACTTATTTTTCTATTGTCAAATATATCTCCTATATGTTGCAAGAGCCGATCTACTCTTAGACCATTTCAAAGGCTACAAAACCATGTGATTTAACTGTATTTTTCTTTTCATAGTGTGTGCTTTTCTTTTTGGGGCTCCCTCTTCTCTTAGTCTTTTTCCTTGAATGAGCTTAGTTCAAGTTGCCCTAGATCCCTGCTCATTATGTGTCAAGTTTGCTCATTCCTCTCAGCTCTGCACCTGCAGATAGGTTTATGTTCGAAATAGTTTGTTGGAAACTCTGTGGTTGAAGGGACCCACACTTGAATCAGGAAATGGGACAAATTTCACTGTACCTGCTCTCTCCAGATTTGTGGCAGTGTATTTTTATTTGTAATGATTAAATTTGATTAAATACAGAAAAATGTTAAGTTGGGAAATGGTAGGAAATAATATCTTGGAATTGGATGAGTCTGCTGTGCCTTTGTTGAAATGTATTAGCAAATGCTCCCTGATGACTGTTTCAGATACACTAGAAGCTATAGAATACTTTACCCAAAATGCCAAAAAAAAGGTTTCATAATCCTGTAGTCAGTTTCTAAGAGATGAAGGTATTCTGTAGAAAAATAATTTTGAGGAGGTGATTGTCTGCGGTTGAGATGTATCTTAATAAGATGAGCTTCACTAGGATGATCAAAAGAAAACCTTTGCTCATTTTCAACACAGCCAAGGTGTCTGTGTTGACAATCACAGTTCTACTTGAGTCACGGAAATTGAATATTCTAGGAAGATCTTCTGAAAATTGATTAGTACTCTTGTTTGCTAGTCGACAATTTTTAAATAAAATTGTCTTACTCAGCTTTTGATGAAATCTTTTTTGCTATAGTTGCATAAATATTAAACCAAAATTACTTCAGTTATAAAACTGATTAATTACGCTGATGTTTAATGTTATTTCATTGAACCAAAGAACCTAAGAAATAGGTAAGGTAGGAGCTTGGTAGCCAGGACAGTTTTGAATAACCCTCTCCAGGTGGGAAACAAAATTTCAGGTTTTGAATAAAGTGGTATACTGGTGTTTCTGCATGCAGAGAATGTCAATAAGCTTTTTTTAAAAAAATATATCTCTATTTGACCACAGTGAAGCCTGACACATTCTTATTTCAAGAACATTTCTGTTAGACTGTGTCAGGAAAGGATTTTGATTCTGTGGAAGCTTCTTTGTTTTATTAATAATGGCATTATAAGACTAGTTACTTTGCTAAAGACATACCAAGACAGTATGTACATTTAAGAACATTTTTTGGTTCACTGTATTAATCCATGTTTTGTGTTCTAAGTAGCATGTTATTTAATATTACAGCACATATCCTGTTGCACCAATAACACAGAATGAAGATAATTCCCATCTAAAGGAGCTTAGTCTAAATGATACTCTTTTTTCGATCTTATTTTCACTATTAAAAAAATGATAGTAGAGTATTTTTTGCTTGTGTCTTCTAGTCTCTAACCGGAGAATTACATCACAGTGTACAAGAGCTGAGAACAAAAATCAAACTGGCAAAAAAAGTGGAAGAAATGAAAGCATGCAAAAAGGGTCTTTCCCAAGAGAGTTTTCAGTTAGCAGCGTCTATCCTTAATGTTTCAACAAGTGATCTTTATCAAATACTACAAGAAGGAGATGATGAGGTAAGTTATTTTAAGGACTTCAGTAAAAAAGGCATAGATGAGAAGATGCTGACTATATCCCTCCTTGAAGAAAAGCATTTTCAAGTAAATACTGAAATTTCATTGTGCAAGATACAGCACAGAAATCAAGAAGGATTTAATCTACATGAAAAAAGTTAGAGATTCGTAAGGTGGCAAGCCTTACAGTATGCATAAATATACACATAGTGCTTTGAGCATGTGTATATAGAGATATTCTTCACTATTTTCCTTTTTGTGAGGCCATTTGACAGGATTGTATGTTTTAAATAGACTTCTGCATTAAAGGAAACAAAATTAGAATATATGTCTTGCCGTGCCAGATTGATTTTGTTGATACTTCCTCTTTGAATTGTGATACCTATTAAAGGTATTTCTGGTAGGCAGATGGTTTCTGGGTGAATTCATAGCCTTTTTTGTTGATTCTATCATACATTTTACTATGAAATATTTGATAGTGTTTCATCAAATCACTCTATTAAATAGATGCAGTGATGGGATTTCTTATCCAGATTTATTTAGTCCTGATCAAATAATATATGAAAAAGCCTGTACAGCAAGTGTCTAGGAGCTGGCCATTATTTGCCTGTAACAGTAGTGTGGTGATGACTTAGATTTAGCCTTGGTGAAACTTTATATTAAAGAGGCCACAAAAAGGAAGTTTTTCCTCTTGGTGAGACAACAGTGCATGGTATATGTATGCACTGATAGGGATTACACTCATGAATACAAATAAAATGGGCTGATCCCTGCCATGTTTACTCACATTTATACAAACCTATAAAGTGATTCACTTTGACAGAGTTGTTCCATGCTTATCTCATTCTCAGAGTAATTTCTACATCCTGTATCTTTTTGTTTGAGTCACTGTGAATATATGTATAAAACACATAGACATACTTAACTATAAATATAAACCAAATTTATTAGACAGGAGATGAATTTACACTACGCATACACTACATATTCTATCTATCAGTGCATAGGCTCAGGCACCTTTATGTTGAGCTCATGCAATTTAGATTAGATCACACATACACCAGTATATTCATATGGAAAGAACATGCTATGCACATTTCTAGAAGCATGCACAGACAAGGGTAGGTTTAAAAATGTAATAGAGCACTGATACTTGATGAGTATTCTTCAGATAACTAATTTTTCAAATGTGATTCTGACTTCCACATGCTCTATATTTAATGTATACCTAGTTACACATTTCCTTTATTGCTAGTGATGTTTTTATATTTTTAGGAAACAGCCGAAACAGAAATGGAATTTGAAAAAGATAAAGAATGGCTACAGCATATACAGAAACTTAGTGAAGGACAGGTGCTCAATTTATATAATCCCACAATGAATTATAACTTTCTGTTCTGATTAGCTATGTGTTTTTAAGTTGTAATTAATACACTGTATTTGCAGTTATGGTAAATATGTAATTATGTAATTGATGGTCTCAAACTATACTGTGATGAGCAATGTGAAATCCTTGTTTTGTAGCATTTCCTTTGTATTTCTGTTAAAATCAGAGTTACTGTGTAAAACTGGAGATGTTAATCAAGGAGTTGTGATAGCTAATTTACCAGCTAACTTAAGCTAACATAACCAGTAAAACAATGCTGAAGAAAACCAGCACAGGTCTTGGCAAATGTGTTAATTGAATTATTGAAACACTGTATAATGCTTGCTAGAGTGAAAATGATCTGTTCTCTCATAACTCTTAGGAAAAATAGACTTTTTTTTATGTGCCTTTAAAGTTACTAGTTGTTATGGACACCTGAGGAGTTCATGGGTTTCTGTGACCTTTTACTGTGGACCTGTTTCCAGTCAATTCATGTTTTCCTCATAGCCAGACAGCTGTTTATTATCGTGTCTTCTCGCATTCTCTACAATATTTTCTACTGAGACCTCGAGCAGCTTGTTAGTGGGAAGTAAATATTGATTTGGCATCCTGTCAATGCAGAAAGAATGAAAAAATTTCCACCAGAGGCCCCTCAAACATTTTCCTATCGACATTTTCTGGGCAGAGAGGAAAGCTGCATAGAGGATGACAAGTCTGAGACTAGCAGAAATCCCTGAGGGGTCCATTGAGACTGCTGCTGTGACCTGTGTGATACTTTTTCTTCTCTTTCAAGTCTTTTTTTTTAATACACACAGAGTCTGCTGGGATGCTCCCCTCTTGTAAGTGATCAAGGGCAGTTTATTGGCAGGTGAGAGCCCAGCTTTTCTACCCGTAGTCAGCTTTTGTTTGGACATCACTGACAACATACCCTGACTCTTAAAACTTTTCTACTACATTTTTAGTTTTCTCTTTTATTTAAATGATGGGCAGCTGATGTCTGGAAAGAAATAAAACTTGATTTGTAAATCCAGTGCATAATGCATATTCACTAGCATGGGTCCATTAGTGATGTAGTTAGTATCAGTTAAGAATGTGAATGATTGAAAATATTTTGAAAGCCATCTTGAAGAAAAACACACATCAGATTTATGTATTTAACCATCAATAACTTTTGTGTTGAGATTGTATCCTGTGGCCAGATTTTTAAGAAATGACAGGTTTTCCCTCTTTCATTATCAAAATTTACTCCTGTGAAGACTGCTTAATTGCTGCAGCAGAGGAAATAGAAATATCAGTGTGCTTTTACTGGCTTTGTCCAAAAAAAGGGCATTTTAATTAAACCTCATAATGCTACTTGAAATTCAGCATTAAAAGCACAATTCTTTACATTCACTTAATTGCTTCAATTTTAAGAATTTAAAAAAATATATATAAATTTCAAGATTCTGTTCATATTATAGGCTCCAAAATGTGAATCAGATCCATGGAATACAATGAAGACTTCTTGTTCTGTTTTTTCATTGTAATTTGGTAAATCGCTAAAATTATTAAGCAGAATTTTATCACTTTTCTTCATCTGCTATAGACAGACAGAAAAAAACAAGGGATGGAGAGTGAAGGATTTGTTTAATGAAACCAGGTACATTAAGATTGCAGATGTTCTATAAGGATAGAAGAGCTCATTGTTCTTAGCCATGTACGTTTGTGTACAAGTTAATAGTGATTTTCTGTGATTTTTGCTCCATCTTGTGGGGTTCCTCAGAAGAAACACTGAGGGTAAAAGTAATTTTTGGCAAGCAAACCATTTTTAGAATTGCAAGAGGATTATAGTGGTTTTGGGGAGCAGCCAGCTCTGCTTTTCATTTCTGTCCATGCTAAGGCATATAGATGGAAACAGTTAAGATTTCTTCATCTGTATTTGAGAGCAGCTCATGGAACAGCTCTGTGCCCTTTAAAATGCTTTACTCATATCTTGCAGAGTTTGGTTGTGGTTTCTTTTAGTAAGCTTTGGTAATATTTCTGATCAGTAAACTAAAGCCCACAGTGAAATGTAAGCTTTCTGCAGGGTTTTGCTCATAACAGACTGCCTGCTAAGTGTTACATGTTGGCAAACTGTGCTGCCCATTTGCATCTTGAACAGAGATGCGGGATTGCCCTTTTCTGTTTTTCTGAGTAAATGTTCAGTGGAAAATTGCATCAGATCATTTAATATTGCAGTTTGATATAGTGTCTTTTTGTGCCATTTAGCCAGGACTTTGAAACATAATTGCCCAGCAGTATTGATTTAATTGCCTAGGTTTATTTGTGGACTCCTAATTATTGACTGGAGGTAAATTTAATGGAGAAACCTTTATGAACACTGGGAAACTGCTGCTATTGCTGTTATACATAATGAACTGCATCATAACCCTTTAGATCATTCTTCAAGCTAATTTTATTCTACTATGACAGTACGATAACATTTAAAATGTCATAGACATTTTATTTTTATTACTGACATACGCCATTTTACTGCTGCACTAGAATTTTGGGGGGGACTGAGTGAAGCACTAGTTGCTTTTTACTGTCATTTTATAAATTCCCCTAAAGTGTAATGATAAAGGATACCACAACTCTGTTTTCACTTCATCTGTACCTTTATTTTCCATACTCTTATGACTTGGAAAAGTCTCATATCTTTCAGCTTTACAAGATTATTAATATTTTAGTGATAAATACTCCTACATTCCTGAAACTCACAAATACCAGCCAGAATTTGTGTTCTTGTTTTATCAACTACTATGTCAAGAAACTAGACCACTGCTAAAAGGCTTATGATTTGAAAGAGACATCTCTGCATAGTGATGTTATTATGTAAACAAGAATCATATAATAGGGAAGTACAGTCATGTTATAAACTCAGCAGAGCTGGTAAAAATCACTTGTTGTCTAAATCTAAGTCTTTAATGGCCAAGAAGTGGGTTTTTTTTTCCTGCTATCTCTGTATTTATACAGTAACACTCTAGATTGTTCTCACTAAAGAATGAAAGAATAAAAATAAATCGTCTCAATAATTGACACTGGGATAAAAGTAAAAGGTTCTCTGGCCTGTGAAGAACCTGTTTGCAGAGAGTTTGCACGAAAATACTTGCTACCTGCACATGTGTAGAGGCATCAGACTAATTACACATTAGCTTTGGGCTTGTGAGAATTCTCGTGTTATAGATGTTTAAGCTTTTAGTGGTTTATATTATTTAGGGGGGAATAAGAATGATCATTTCAACATGTATGTGTATTTACATCCTGCAAGGCAAGTTATGAGGCTGTTGCCCACTTTATCCCTCATATCTGAGTGTGTATGTCTTATTAATTGAGCCTGGCTCTTTACAGTAACACTCTCTTATAATCATAAACACTCCCCCTAAAACTCAAACAAAAGCAATCGTTTCTAGCTTTTTCCCATCATAGGAAACTTATGGCTAAGCCAAGAGGATGACTTCTTCTCATGTAACTTGAACATGATTTCTTATACTACCCTTGGCTTTCATTTTCTGTGATTTATTGTAAGGCACACTGTCTCAGAAAAATCTGTTAATGATTTTGTGTGTGAGTACAGCATGGTAACCCAATCATGATTACTGCCTCCAAGAAGTCTCCAAGAATTTTTTAAAAATAAAATGCAAATCATCTGCCTAAGTTTTTACAGCAGCACTTGCCTTTCATGCACTCCTCGGGATATGACATCTCACACTAACAAATCTGCCTAATAAAATCTTTCCTCACATGACTTCATTATGGGTCTAAAAATCATATTCCAATAGTGAAAACCTCCAGAAAGGCTCACTTTCCTCTACTCTGGAGGCACTCTTTGTGTAACACATCTCTAGCATAGGGTTTAGAACACTATATTCACTAATCATCAGTAAGGATTTTCCCCAACCCCTTTTTAGGATTTGCACAGGCTTCTAAAGGCATATTTCTGTTGCTGTCATCTGGGAATGGACACTAATGGCTACAGTTGTTTCCTTCCAAATTTCTTGGCTTGCAACTCGCCTGCTTTGCTTTTGTTATTCTCTCTGCAGTCTGTGTGTGTCTTTGAACAGCTCACACCCAGAAACGTCTATTCACCAATGTACAAACACATGTGTACAATCACCACTGACACCATCACCAGGTGTTTCAAGTATCTGCACCTGAAAAAGCAGCACCAGCACAGTCTGCACCACATTCTGGGCACCATTAGCACTGATACCAGGTCATGATTTTCTTCTCATTATAAGAACAAGAGCCTAATCCTGTGCACTGACAATGCCTTACAGTATAAATCTATGTTTTATCTCATGCACACAAAAAAACCTACATTATATCACTCATCCTGAACTGCAAACAAGGAGAAATTGACTTGGTCACTCAGGATAAAAGGCACATATGTATTTATATAATGATGTATATGCAGCCACCATATGAAGCAGAATAAGAGCAAAGAATAAGACAACAACAATAAAGTGAAGCATTTATCTTTTTTTTAGTTTTTGACTTTTATTTTTTTTAGTGATTTTAGGATGTTTTAGTTGTTGGTCTTAGTGCCTAGTTTTATTTCATATTGTTTTTTTGTGGCTCACTTAATTCAACCTAAGGCAGCTCTGCAGTGTGTTTGAATAATATTTTGTTGGGAAAATGTATTGTACTGATGATCCATATGGGAAGGTGTGAAATAGTTGTAACCACTAATTTGTATATTCCAAAATCTAAATACATTTCTATTTATGCTAACATATTTTAGAGTTTGTGAGACAGAAGCCTAAGTAATGCTCCACTCTGCAAATGGAGGTACTGTGCCTCATTAGAACAAAAACGTTGCCTTGCATTTATTATAATACTTTCCACTGGCAGATTGGTGTATATTTATGCACTTGTATTTATGCACTCTGTGCTGACAGAGACTCAGCCATGTGGTTTTAGGTCAATAAATATTACTAGTTTGTTTTTTTACAGAAGGGATCTCCAAAAGAAGCAAATTTAGGGTCAGAATAAATAGGTGAGAGAAGGAGAATTGACTGTCACTATTTCTGACTCTTTAGGATCACCTTCCATTTATCCATACACCAAGCTATCTTTCTGATAAGTTGTGTAAGAAATATGGTTTTCAGTTATATACGTTCCTATTATCAAAGAAGAAATTTGTCAATCTGGGAAGTCAAATAAATAAGTTATTTTATCCCAGATGTAGTTTGCACATTCAGATGTTGTGAAATCACATGAATCAATTAAATACTACTTCTGTTAAAGCCTACCATTATGTACTGATTTAGGATCACCACAATTAATTTTAAGTGGATTGTGGCCCAGATAATTGTAAAAAATCTGAAAGAAGTATCATTCTGTATTAAAGTGTCTCATGATCAGTGGTAAAAACAAGCTTTCACTCCTTAAGTGTGCTCATTGAACTTGCAAAGCCTTCCCCAAGCATATGGCAGGTTTTGAAGCTGGTATGAATGCTTTACAGTAGAGATGACTTCAGTGGCTGTGAAGTTCTGTGGAGAAATGCAAAGGGAGGTATCCCAGAATAGTTACAGAGTCATCATTAAAGTCTGACAAGCTTCTATTAAAGGTTAAGACTGTACGGATCATCCAGTTCTGGGGGTCTGCAAGAAAAGAAGACCAGAGAGAAACATACAGCACTTTCTCTGAAACCAACAAATATTGAAAGAATGACATAATGTTCCACTTTCAAATGCTCTTGATTTAAATGAATCACTTCAATGGCAAGAGTTCTTGAAAGATCACTTTGCTATGACATGGAAGCCACGGAGAGTAGTGAGCAGCAAGTAAAATGTAGTTAGAATGATACAAGATAGAGACATCAATAAAAAGCCATTCATCTCAGGCATGGTATTAAGGAGGTGAAATGTATCAGAAATTGATGTAGGTAAGCAAGGAGAATTAGAGGCTTTCAGGTAATGCTGCAGTGTTCTTGTAATAAACATACCTAGAAAAAAAAGGGAAAGAAATTAGAATGAAATTAGGATGCTGGAGTCAGTGTTTTTAAAGCATAGCAGCAAGTAAGTCACAGAATTTCAGATAAGGTTATTTCTTAGATTATACTGAATAGATTTGTGCTCAGTGAATTTGAGCCCTCTATTCTCCAAAAATCATCACAATAGCACACAGGCGTAGATGTCTTCTAGAAATTTCTTACCACACACGTAAGTTATGACAAATGGAGACATGTTTGGCCAGCAAGCACCATGGAGACATGTTTGGCCAGCCCTTGAAAACCACTTTTCCTGTAGAAAAAGAAAATAATACATATTGTTGTCCTTCTTCTATAACTACAAAGTGATTGTTGAGCAGCGTTTAGGATGCCATTTTATCTCTTCACAGTACCTGCCTTCTATTAAAAAGACTTTTCTTTTTTAGATCTTTTTTTCTGAATTATTATAGCAATTATAAATATCAGTACATAGATTTGTATCTGTGTATCAGTTCAAATGCTACATTTTACATTTGATGTACTTCATGTCTGGGGTTTTTATTTCTTTCTTTTATCATTTTTGATTCATGTCTATTTAGGAAACAAGCACTACGCTATCTGGAATACAGAGAAGTGAAAAAATGAAACTATAGCAGCAATACTGAAGTGTGGAACTAGACAGGAGTTCTAGATGGAAAAGTGTTGTTTTGAACTGAAGTTGTGAAAAGCAGAAAATTATGATTGGCCAGCAGTTTGTTCCACCAGCTTCTATATTTTACCTTGTTTATTTGTGGTGGCTTTATAATGTAAAGTTATTTCTCTTTCTGAATGAGATGTTACTTTTGGTGGAGTACTGACCCCTGACTCACCACTGGTCTCACCATGTGTTCAGTAAGCTGACAGAGTTCTGTGAAGCTGGCAGAGACTTTTCAGCAGTGAAGGAAAACTGTCCTGTTCTCCTTCTTGGGATGGAGAACATCTCCACTTGGGATGGAGCTGCCATGACCACTCTTCTGTACCACCTCTAAAAATACTTCCCAGCAAACAGTGCACTGATATACCAAGATTTTGAAAGAAAACCTCTTTAAGCATTAAAGCGATGACACTGAAAAATGTACCAAATCTTCTTTGAAGTTCTTGGCTGTGCAAATGCATCTTTTATATCAGAGAAGTTAAAAGAGGTTTTAATTTTTCTCTGTAGGTATGTCACTGCAATTTTTTGGTATCATGTTTTAGAGAAGCAGACATTTGTGTCATATTCTAGTTAATGCAGTTGGAGGTTTGGTATCTTACTTTGCTTTAAGAAGTTTTTTTTTGTGGTTTTGTTTGTTCTAGTTTGGGGTTTTGTTCTTATTTGTTTTTTGGGATTTTTTTGTTGTTTGTTGTTGTTGTTTAATTATTTACAAGGTTCTGTGTGTGAGTCTAAGGCAATTTGCTACAGCATTGAGAATTATACTGGTAGTTCTGTCTCATCCTCCTGAGAGTAGTGAACTTACACTCATACGCTACCATTTCTGCATGCCCTAGAGGTGACTGTAACCTTTTATTGATCAGCTGATTGAAGATAAATGACAGAGATGCTGGTACTGCAGTTTACATCATTAACATGGTCAGTAAAGCATGAATTGTTCAATAAGGAGTTTATCTTTTTTCATTTTACACTGCTCTTTTATCATTTTTATGATAGAGAGCAAATTTTCAGACACTACACCAGGCAGATGAACTTTAAAGATCAGAAATGTGTGTGTGGTGGTTGTCAGAACTAAGTGAAATCGGATAGTTTAAAGATATTTAATAAATGTATTTCAGAAGAAAAAAATAAAGTTTAATGATCATTTTTCTTACTCTGTTTCTTTTCAGTTTCCTTTTGCCTCATACTTAATGGATGCTGTACTGGAAAAATTAAATGAGAAGAAGAAATTGGTAGAAGAGTACAGTTCCCTCATGAAGCACACTGTGTGATATTGCTAAGATGTGTATTTGCAAAGTCTGACTGAAATGTGTGCAGTTTCCTCATGTCTTTCCTCTTCTCATAAAGAACTGTCAATATGCATGTTCAATACATACACAGAAACCATGAACTAATTAATTGTTGAACAAGAGGAATTAATTAAATTCCTATTAGAAAGCAGTGTCGTATTTGATTCCTGAAGAGAAAAATTGCTGCAAATCAATGCAAAGCTCGAAATTATTTTCCTTTAAATGCATTGGCAGTGAACACATGTGCAGGCTTTGTAGAGGAAGGATGTCTTTGTTATGAATAATACACATCTGTACAATTTTGAAAGAAAAAAAAGCAGCCAAGTACACCTCATTGTACTAATCAGAACACTAGAAGTAGGATTTATAAAGGAACTGGGAATATCACTGAGATTTTGAATACCTAATTTATTTTCGTTTCTTTGTAAAGCCAAACTTTATTATATATGCTACATGAAATGATATGCTTTTATGTTGGAAAAAATGAATGATTGCACAATAAAATGTCCTGTGTGGAGTAATGCAATAAAAGCTGTACTTTTCTCTGAGCATACTGGAGCATAACATGTGCAATGTATTTTTAAAAATACAATAAAATAAAGTTTTTTCTATTATGGTTTTTTCACTAGTAGATCCAGTTGTTTTTCAGCTGCAAGCTGGTAGCTGCAGGTAGCTGCAAGCTCTCACATGCCTTGAGAAAGTAGTGTAGAGTTTTAGCCAGTTATTTCCACCAAGATTTCTCTGGTTCTACTAACAAATAATTGCTGGTTCTTCACACTTTTGATCTTAGACTTTGAATTCCTCTGGACAAATCTACCTGGCAAAAAATAAGACACAAGTTTCTGAGTTCATGTGTTAATAATGTTCAGCTCTTATATATGTCTCATTTATGGATATCACGTTGTTTTACAACAGATATAATTATCCATATTGGGTGGGGAATCAGAATAAGGATTGGATTAAGTTCACTTAAATGAAGCACGAAACAGAGGTTTTCTGCACGTCAATCCAGTGTTTTCCTAGGATGTAGTAATGTATCTTCTAATTTATGGAGTTCACTATTTGGTGTCTCTGACAAAAGGAAGATGTCTCTAAACTTCTGCTCAGTTGCACCTGGTGAACACAAGGGCTTGAGAGAATTTTTATTGGAATTAGAGGAAATCATACATAGTCCACCTACACCTGTAAATTATGACTGGGAACTATCCCTGTATAAAAAAACCCCTGCCACATTTTTATTGGAATTAGAGGAAATCATACATAGTCCACCTACACCTGTAACTATCCCCGTACAAAAAAAAACCCTGCCACGTCTTTAGGAATGGCTGCTCAATGCAAGAAATAAGGGCCATCATATGAAATTGTGTGGTGATATATTCAAGTAAGCAAAAGGATGCAAATGAAACTGAGCTGTTGGAACTGTTTGCCTCAGATTTTACAGAAGCTAAGCATTTGCACAGACTCCAATGCCAATAAAACAAGGACAACAAAAATTAGGAAGGATAAATCCATCAAGACATGTGGAAACCATGCTCTAATTTTGTTCAGTAATTCCAGCAAGATGTATTTGAACATAATTTCATCAAAACATCTATTGCAGCTTAGTAAAAAGAGCTTCAGGAGGCCGAAGATCTCTGGAAATTATCCCCACTGTCTTCATGTCCACATTGTCAAACACCCACTGGTGCAAGTCTGATCTTGATGCTGATCTTTAAATCTTTTGTCATAGTGAAAATGCAGGGAGCATCAGCTAATTCATTTAGAAAATACATCTCAAAAAGAGGGAATTTTCCAGACTGCTGTCTCTTTCTCTAATATCTTGCTTTACTGCCCCTGCAAATTTCTGTATCTCCTGGGCAACTGGGTGCAAGAAGACATCTTCTGTTGATGCAAGAGTAAGCAACAACACTGCATAACCAAATTACTATCCACTTCATCTGAAAAGAGAGCAAAATTAAATCCTTAAACCCAGCTGGAGACAGATTAATGCAAAAATGTTCCTGAAACTGTAACACTGCTGTCTTTCCGAAAACTTTGCTGGAAAGTTTGCCAAATACCATTAAAATGCCTTTAAAAGATTAAGAAAGATGGTATTTTCATTCAAAAATCATTTTCTTCTCTAATTTGACATAAACAAATGAAGATAGAAATACCAGTCAACATTTTTCAGCATGTAGTTTGAGAGATATTTGTAAGGACAACAAAAAGGATGATGCTTCAAAGAAAATAAATTTTTGCCTTTTTGCTGACACAAATATTGAGTTCTGTCTGCGATGAACATACTTGTTTTTACTACTTATTTGATCTTTCTTGCACCAGTCAAACAGGAGATGGTCTCTGAAAATATCTTTATTAGTATAAAAAGATTAATATTCATTATTTTGGTTATATTTGATGAATATTTTTTAAATTCCCTTTCACTATAACCAAGCTCATTACACTGAGTGAAGAACTGATTCTGATTTGGGGAAAAGCATCAGCTCAACACTTTCAGATGATGCTGCTAACAAAGCTAAACACTAAATATATTAAAAGCAGTCCTCTTTTGAACTAACTATGCCTACGGACATCCAGAAAATCCACTTAATCCTGTTTTTTTCTTTTGTTACGGTGGTTTTCCTCTCCTGATGCTGCCTGATGCGGCCTCTAGATGGCAAACTTGTCCAAAAAATGGTCTCGGAGCTTTGCTCCCTGCCGCCCCTGAGGTTCTGTGTCAGGCAAGCCTGTCCCTCCCTCGGGCAGCCGCAGCTGACGTCTGTGCATGTGAAATTAAGGGGCTGTTTACGCATTAAACCTATTAATGGACTGTGTCCTTGCATACAGTGACACAAGCGTGAGGTAACTTTTATATTCATGCATATACATAAAATTTTATATGTATGTATATAGAAACGTGTGTGTGTGTGTGTTTATGCACACGTTCATTAATTATGAAATATGCAAAGTTGTACGGTGGTTCAGAGTTGTTTAAATGTTTAGCTCTTTCAAAAATCTTCATTATGCACTAGCAGGTCCACAGGAGGGTGTGAGGGACTGAAACGTTGATGGTTCATGTCTCAAACAATCTGGGCGTTTTGCTGTTGACGCTCAAGAAACAACCTGTGTGCAGCAGGTGTGAGCACCAGAGGATGACCACAACAAATCAACCTTTGCTTAGCAAGAAGCTGGGGTTTGAGCTAGAGAAGGGGAGAGGCTGATAAGCAGGTCCTGCAAAGTAGGATAATGCTTTTAGTTCTAGCAATGTCATCTCTTACACAACTGGCTCACTTGTAACATTCCTCTCCCTCCTCCTGCCAGGAAAAGCTGCTGGGACATTCACATTAATCATCCCTTCTGATGGGGTGTAAATGGCTCTATTACACTGACGTGAGAGAAGGTGTCATAAACCATCAAAGACCTCCAAAATGCTCCCAGAGTAATTTCTGGGGCCTTCAAGCAGAGGAATGGGCATAATCCACAGTTTTACACAGTGTTGCATCAGACAGTGTAAAAGTACCCACCCCAGGGGAAGTACTTGGGTGTTCCACCTGAACTTGAGTGTATATTAACCCACTGACATTTGTTTTTTGTGGTTTTCCCCTACCCCAGATCAATAAAGACTGTGGCCATCACTTCAACCAATGGACACCAAAATGCAACAATGAAGTCTCATTGATGGATCCACAGGTGTTGGTGCTTTTCTACCATTATACTTTCTTTCTCTTTCTTTCTCTTTTTCTTCTCCTAATTTTTCTCAGAATATATTGTAGCCAGACTAGAAAGTTCCTGTCAATGCCTTAGGAAGTGCCTTGTTGTGTCTGGATAGGTTGAAGTTAGCTAATTGTAAGTTTGTTCAGCTCAAGTTTGTGAAGTGCCTTAATTACTTTGTTGGTGTTTTAAAATTTGCCACAGGATGAATTAAACCTCCTGAGGTTTAAAGGAATAACTGAGAGCCACCAAGATAATCTGGGAACTGGAGCACTTTTCCTGTGAAGAAAGACTAAGAGAGTTGGGATGATTCAATGTGGAGAAGAGGAGGTTCTGGGGAAAACTTAAGAGCAGCCTTCCAATATGTAAAGGGGGCCAACAAGGAGGCTGGAAAGAAGGGCTGCGTTGTAGTAGTAGGACAGGGGGAATGGCTTAAAGCTGAAGGAGAATGTGTTTAGGTTGGATATTAGGAAGAAGTTCTTTACTGTGAGGGTAGTGAGGCACTGGCTCAGGTTACCCAGGGAAGTTGTGGATGCCCCGTCCCTGGAATTGTTCAAGGCCAGGCTGGATAGGGCTCTGAGCAACCTGTGGAATGTGTCCCTGCCCATGGAAGGAGTTTAGAATGATGATCCTTAAGGTCCTTTCCAACCCAAACCATTCTATGATTTTGTACTCTAAAATGTAAAAATGAAAGTCAAAGTATCTGGTAATCGTCACTTCTCACAGTAGGTTTCTGTAATGCCATCTGTTTAACCCACACAAATCCTAATTTACCTTGACAGGAATAAAGATACGAGTCTTCCTAAATGTAGATCTCATACAAATGACATCCATTTTCTTCTGTACTGAGGATTCTTTGTTAGAGAAGGCACTGTGTGTATCTCCCCATGTGCCTCTGGATTTCCTCACTGTCTGAATGAGTTGCAATTTTCAAGGCCAGGTATTCTAAATGAAACTGAAGTGTAAGTGTAAGACCTAAGAGGAGGAGGAGTTCAGGGAGAGATTTAAAACATCTCAAAGTATTCATATAGCCACAATGTAATATCTCATTTTTTGTATTCTTGAAAGAAAGAAACTTGATTGAACCATTATTTTTTATCTGTAGTGTCTATGTTCTCATACATAAAGTAAGGATCTAGTTTTGAAGTTTCCTGATTTGTGATTTGAGAATTTGCAGTGTGTAACTATTTGAAATATTTGTAACATAGTAAGTGATTGAGAGATCTGGGAACACTTGTTAGCTTCTGCTATAATCACATACTTAGAAATTAATTAGTGTTGCTGGCTACGTTAAGTTTTGCTTTTGTCTTCAGGATTGCAGAAAGGCTGTGGAGTCAGGAAGGTCTGAATTTTAATTCTGTCATACCTTCAGCTAGGTTAATTCTCTTTTCTGTTTCACTTCT